ATATATTAATTAAAAAAATCAAAATAAAAAAATCAAAAGATTTATGTTCTATTTATAATTATTATTATAAAATATATTTTAAAATAAATTATTAACTAAAAATATATATTAAATATTAAAAACATATTTATATTATAAATAAATTAAACTTGATTTTTATAAAATTTAACATATTTAACTTTATATTTTTAATAAAGTTAAATTATTATAAAGTAGGTCTTTAAGATTGTAATACTAACTAAACATTTTAAAAATGTCTATGATAGATAATTAAGTTATACTTATGATATATTTTTTTTAAAGTATGGATACAGATTCCAAAAAATTTTCCGATTCATCCTCCGAACAATTAAAATAATAATATTTTTTTTAATAAATTTATTATAAAATAATTATTTTATAATAAATTTATTAAAAAATATTATTATTCTAATTGTTCAGACAAAAATTTGGACTAACGATTCAAAGATTGAATCATTAATCTATTTTTATAGAAAGTTAGGTTCAAACCTACTAAATTATAATAAAATTTAATCTAATCTAATTTATTTTCATCTTTAATTATAATCATAAATATAAAAATTTGTAAAAAATAATTATAATATATATTTATATTTTTAAAAATTATATATAAAATTTTTAATATTATAAATATATAAATAAATATTATTTTTATTATTTAAAATTTTTGGATCCATCACTGTATATGTGATATTCAATTTTTTAAACCGAAACTAACCGAAAATGAAATAAAATAATAAGTATAAACTATCCCTGTCTTACTAAATGGAATGAAATGCACGGCACAAGAGTCGTGTTTTTCTTGTCTTTTCTATACGAACTTAAAATTTTGGACACAAACAGGAATATGATATTGATCTACTACATTCGTAAATAGGGATGGCATACATTCGTAAATATGGATGACAAAGAGATAGTAGAGTCATGCATGTTTTACTATTCGCGGTTTTTGTTTCCTTATTTTATTAAATTTTACGGATATAAAATTTGTTTTCTCATTCTCATTTTTATCTTTATTCTCGTATTTTATATTTGATGTTTATAAAATTTATATTTTTATCTTTATTTTTGTTGAATATCGAATATATCTATATGTATTTTATATTTGTTTAAAAATGAATTAAATATTTTTTTAAAAAATATATAAGACAAAATTTTTAATATAGAATAATAATACAAAATTACATTAATTAAATTTTATTTAACATATCTTTAAAATAAAATAAATATTAAATACATATTAAATAATTTTTTAAAAAAATAAATTAAATGTCTAAAAATTTAAAACAGATATAGATATCAGATGAATAAATATATATCCATTTATATTCTTGTACCCGATTTAGTAAATTAGATATTAGTCATACTTGTACTCAATTAAATTAGATATTGTTTCATTAAAGTTATAACATCCGAATTTACTTTTCATTCATATTTTGTAAACAGGGTTTTTATGCTGCACCAAGATTTTTTACCTTTTGATAGATATAAAGTTGGAAATATTAGTTTTAGTTTATTATTTAAAAACTAATATTTCTAGAAATATTTTTTAAAATTTATTTTTATATAATCTTCTCAGAAAATTATTTTTTGACGAGTTAAAAATCTAACATTTTTTAGCATCACATTATCTTTATTTATTTAATACGTACAATAATAAATTTTAATTCTCAAATACCATGAATAAATGTTTCTAAAAAAATCTATAACTAATCAAAAAGATTTTAATATTTTGATAATAATGATTTTTAGGAGTTTAAAACTATTACAATAGTTATAAACATTTTTTATATACTTTTTTTTTATAACTTTTTCGCAGTTAAATACTGTTGCAATAGTTTTTGGCAGTATAAAACTAACAATTTCTTCCACAAAACTAATTAAAATCGATTTTCAAAGGGTCAATTTACAGTAATTTGATAATTTAAAAAAAAAACATATTACTTTGATAATTTTAAAAAGTAAACTAGTCCATTTTGGTTAAAAAGTGGTTGACAATTGATATTCGTTCTCGCATATTCTGTAACTTTAGAAAGCATCAGCATCAAAAAGCTGTCAGTAAATGTTCTTCTAACCCATGGAACTGGAAGTCTTCCCCTTCAAAAGCTCGTGAATATTTTTTCTCTTTTCATACAAACTGATTTTTTAAGACGAGACCATTGAGTAAAGGTGTTACTTAATTCACAATTTACTAATTTAGTTCTTAAATTTAGATGAATTGGACAATAATTATATACGTAGTATCGTATAATAGATTAAATAATAAAATAATATAAAATTGTAAAAAAAATGAATTAAAATTTTAGTTAACATAGAGGATCATATCATAATAAATATTATAAGACAAAATTTATAAATTATTTTTTTAGTGAAAATTATTTTAGAATAAAATTCAAAAAACACTTATAATATAACACTTTTAAAGTAATTTTTGATACAGGTATTGCAAGTGTTTCTTAAGTTTTATTCTAAAATAATTCATAATATATATATATATAATAACATTTTACTACCAGCTAATTTGGAGGTATTAATGATAAGTGATTTAGGATTATCCAAACAAGTACCCCACGTTTTTATTTTATCTTTAATTTTAATGTTTTTCAATACGTGGTATTTAAAATTAAAAAAAAAATATTTTTATTTGGAGTTAAATGATAGAAATAATGATATTTTATCATTTTTTTTTTAATGATTTCATTACGAAGAAAATGATATCATGCATCCACGTACCGAAAAGTCTATACTGTGATTTTCAACGCTGCCGCAATTGTAATTGTGAGACAATATTATACAGAACACAAAATGTATATGAAAAACATTATATGAGAATGAAAAAGTAAGAATCACTAGGTGCTTGTATATTTTCAAACACTAGCATGGTATAATGTGGCATGCTTGCTCTAGTTTAAGGGTGTTAAGCAAATGATCATTTTATTGACGTACCATTTCTTACTTGTATGCAGAATCGGTGTGTAAATATGATAGCTCATCTTTTCAATGCACCATTAGGAGAGTCTCAGGCTGCAGTTGGTGTTGGCACAGTTGGTTCATCTGAGGCCATAATGTTGGCTGGATTGGCATTCAAAAGGAAGTGGCAGAACAGAAGGAAAGAAGAGGGAAAGCCTTATGACAAACCCAACATTGTCACTGGAGCCAACGTTCAGGTACACTTTAAAACATGTTTATTGTTCTATAGCATATCACTATGTTTTTCACAACCGATTAGGTGGATCAACTTGTATGAAATTATTGTAATTTAATTAGTAGTCACAATTTTGAGTTTTGAGTTTGTAATAGTATTAAATATTTTAAGAGAGAATCTTACTGCATAATTATAATGATTCTATCTGGTTTGACCAGGACTATTTGAATACATGTGATCTATGCAAATAAATAAATAAATAAATAAAAAATAATATATCACTAAGTTTCTCTGGCATTGTTTGATGTTGTGGAATTGATTCTCTAAAACAGGTTTGCTGGGAGAAATTTGCCAGGTACTTTGAGGTGGAGTTAAAGGAAGTTAATTTGCGTGATGGATACTATGTGATGGACCCTGAAAAGGCCGTGGAATTGGTGGATGAGAACACTATTTGTGTTGCTGCTATCCTTGGTTCTACGCTAAATGGAGAGTTTGAAGATGTCAAACGCTTGAATGATCTCCTGGTTGAAAAGAATAAGCAAACTGGGTATCTCTCTCTTTCTCTTCCCCTCCCTCCTCTTAAATACTCCATACTTTGTACACCAAATATTTTAGACTTTTGAGGCCGTATGCGTTGACATGTGAAATTCTTTGGTAGATGGAAGACTCCTATTCATGTGGATGCAGCTAGTGGTGGGTTCATTGCACCATTTATTTATCCAGAGCTTGAGTGGGACTTTCGGTTACCGCTGGTGAAGAGCATCAATGTTAGTGGGCACAAGTATGGTCTGGTCTATGCTGGAATCGGTTGGGTTATTTGGAGAAGCAAGGAAGACTTGCCTGAGGAACTTATCTTCCATATCCCGGAACGGGCCGTTCTGGGCTCCATCGTTATGCGTAAAATTCACATGCAGAACAGCCCGTTCTGGCACGTCTAGAACGACCCGTTTCCAAACTAAAACGGCCCATTCTGGAGCTAAATTTAACTCGCAACAACCACGTTTGGAACGGCTCATTCTAGTCTAGGATTTATAGGCCAATTTAGTCGTTTGGAACAGTCCGTTCCAGTTTGGAGAAATTTATATATATATCACTAAGTTTCTCTGGCATTGTTTGATGTTGTGGAATTGATTCTCTAAAACAGGTTTGCTGGGAGAAATTTGCCAGGTACTTTGAGGTGGAGTTAAAGGAAGTTAATTTGCGTGATGGATACTATGTGATGGACCCTGAAAAGGCCGTGGAATTGGTGGATGAGAACACTATTTGTGTTGCTGCTATCCTTGGTTCTACGCTAAATGGAGAGTTTGAAGATGTCAAACGCTTGAATGATCTCCTGGTTGAAAAGAATAAGCAAACTGGGTATCTCTCTCTTTCTCTTCCCCTCCCTCCTCTTAAATACTCCATACTTTGTACACCAAATATTTTAGACTTTTGAGGCCGTATGCGTTGACATGTGAAATTCTTTGGTAGATGGAAGACTCCTATTCATGTGGATGCAGCTAGTGGTGGGTTCATTGCACCATTTATTTATCCAGAGCTTGAGTGGGACTTTCGGTTACCGCTGGTGAAGAGCATCAATGTTAGTGGGCACAAGTATGGTCTGGTCTATGCTGGAATCGGTTGGGTTATTTGGAGAAGCAAGGAAGACTTGCCTGAGGAACTTATCTTCCATATCAACTATCTCGGTGCTGATCAACCCACCTTTACCCTTAACTTCTCTAAAGGTAACACATGATTGAATTACTCAGTTCCAAGTACTACTAATGAAATAGCCCAATTTACTTGCACTTTCTACCACTTCCATTCACTAATGTATGCACGAGTTACTCACTGTTTTACAAGATATACATTGCAGGGTCTAGCCAAGTCATTGCTCAATACTACCAACTAATTCGCCTTGGCTATGAGGTAATAAGACCAAGCAACAGATTCATAGTGCTTGTTATAACTCGATGATGATGTGTTGAGATTTATTTTCATTAAATGGGATTGCAGGGATATAGAAACGTGATGGAAAATTGTAGAGACAACATGATAGTGCTGAAAGAGGGACTCGAGAAAACAGGGCGGTTTGACATTGTGTCGAAAGAGAATGGTGTGCCTTTGGTGGCTTTCACATTGAAAGACCACACCCACTTTGATGAGTTCCAAATCTCTGATCTGCTGAGGCGCTTTGGGTGGATAGTGCCAGCATACACCATGCCCCCAGATGCTCAACATGTCACCGTGCTACGTGTTGTCATCAGGGAGGACTTCTCAAGAACCCTCGCAGAGCGTCTTGTGGCTGATGTGGAGAAGGTGCTGCATGAGCTTGATTCACTTCCAGCAAGGGTGATAAGTAGCACCTCTGTCACAGTCAATACAGAACAAAATGGCAAGGTGGTGGTTGCCAAGAAGAGTGCTCTAGAGACACAGAGGGAAATCACTGCGATTTGGAAGAAGTTAGTGTTGGAGAGGAAGAAGCTGAATGACAAGATGAATGGTGTGTGTTAGACTTAGCTTTGATTGAAACAAGGGTGTGTTGTGCCAATGCTTGCCGTAGTTTCTATATATATGATATTTTGGGCAGTAAGTACTTTTATTTGAGTCAAGTCATTTCTATGATTTAGCTGTTCATTGATGAGAGCAAAAATTCAGGACGTGATTATTTGTATCATTATGATTCTCAAAAGACTATTCAAATCAAGTACTCTTTCCTGTTAAATATTTTTTAAATCTTTTATAGGTGATATGAGACTTGAGTATTTTTAATATAAAATATTAAAATTATTGCATTTAATAGAATATGATTAAATTATTTTTTTAGTTCCTTCATTTATTTAATTTATCTTAATATTTTAAAGGGGTGTAATGTGGTATTTTTGTCTTATTAAAACTAACAACTTTAACTTTTTTATATATGTAGTACAATATACAAAATTACGTACACAATATTTAATGTTGTTAGTCTCCATGGATGAAAAACACAACATTGTATCATTTTAGAAAATAAATTTAAAGTTTTAGTAATTAAGAAAACAATTTGAAAAATTAAATGAAATAAAAAAATCTAAAAATAAATAAATATTAAATATTCAACAAATATCCTTTAAAGAATCATACCGACCATCCCACGTGACTGAAAATGAAATACTGAGTATTAAGAATCCGTATCCTACGAAATTGTCGACAGGAATGCGATGCACAAGAGCAGTGTTTTTCATATATTTTCTATCCGAACTTGAAAATTTTGAAATTGTGGACATAAATATCATCATATATGCACGTGGGCTAAAATAAAATTCTGGTTTATTGTTTCAATTTTTTAAATTTAATCATTAAAGTTTTAAAAGTTTCATTAGAGTGTTTTAAACCAATTTTTCTTATCGACTAAATGTTTCCATCAATTTATATCACTAATTTAATTAATTTAATGATAAATGTTAAGGTGTGAGAATCTCAAATCTAGCAATGACAATATGATATCGTAAGTGAATAGTAAACTTCCTGTCCCAATCTTTACTTCATATTTACAAGACTATCCTTTAAGTGGGTATCGAATTTTATAAATATTCATGCATATTATAAAAATTTGTGAATTTTATTTAAGAAATTAAAAAGTATAAAAATAATAAAAATAACTGTAAATTTGTATTTGATATTGATTTCATTAAAATATTAATGATAAATAATTAACGTTAAAATTTAAATTTATATTTAATGTTAATTTTGTTAAGATATTAAAATAATAAAAATATAAGATAAACACTAATTTAAAATACATGAATTTCATGAATTTAAATAAATGAAAGTTTCAATTCATAAATTTACCATGATAAAAAAGTATGACAAATTAGATAATTTAAAATTATTAACCTTTATATATAAAAGTATTTAAATAATACTACTGTTCTTACCGAAAATCTGCTGTAGAGCTGATTCGCCATGTAAGATCGGTGAGCCTCCTTTGCTGGTACGCTTGATGCTCCAAGATGGGGGTGGTATCTGCAAAAGAGACTTCGTTGCTAAAGTTAGTGTTTGTGTGAGTATTAGTCTCGTATAAGAAATGCACGTACCTAGATGTGAATGAGGGTTGCTTGGGGCCTTGGGCCTGAGATGAGGTGTAATATGATTAGATAACGGACCTCGTCTGGGGCGAGATCCTCGGGGATCAGTTATCATTCGCTTAAATACCGAGCTGATATCACGTGGTGCGTGTCCGAGGTCGGCTTGCGTTATGGTGTCGAGCTCGGAGCTCGGTTACGCAGTACAGATAGTACAACTACCATTACTTAATCATATATATATATGTGTGTGTGTGTGTGTGTGTGAAAATATGGATTGTTCTCATTAGGCCTGGGCAAAAATTTCTGGCAGATCCGAAATCGACCAGACTGACGGTCAGATTGGGTGAAGCGGATTGATTCTCAGGTATTTCAGATTTTTTCGGAAGCAACTTTCAGGTTCAAACGGGTTTGAACGGTTGAATTCGGTGTTGGAATTTTCTCATCCGATGTACCCGAATCTGACTGTTTATCTTCTTCGTCTTCACCGTTTATCTTCTCCACCTTTACCGTTTCGTCTTTTACTTTGTCTTCTTTCTTCTTCTTCTTCACTCCGTCTTCTTTCTTCTTCTTCACTCCGAAAACATCCTCTTCTCTTTCCTGCCATGGCCACTGCTGCTGAGAAGCTCCTCGTTCCCCTGGTTGACGAAGGTGGTGATGCGAAGACCTGAAACTCCACGATTTCTCCCAAATGAAGCAGTGGCGGAAACCGGCGAAGGATGACAATGAATGACGACACGAGACGCTAGAGGAAGCTTCTGAAACCGATGAACCCGTAACCCACACGGATTGAACCCGCCAAAACCTGAGTTCTTCGTCGATAAAAAATAACCCCTGATTTTTCTTAATCGATTTCAGACGGTTTTAAGAATTTTGGTCCGAAACCGACCGTGGCCGACCGATGCTCAGGCCTAGTTCTCATTTTCAAAATGTCGGTGAAAACGAATGGTCCAAATTTTTTTATTACATGTGTTTCTTACTGACCGACAAATTCGCTTAAAACAATAGACGGCTGAAATGTTGTAAAATTCTAGTAACATAAACTTAGTTTTTTAGTTGTTCTCAGCCATTCTTTTTTCGATTTTAATTAAAAATAAAGAGAAATCAAAAACATTATTAATTGTCGATAGTAATTTCTAAAACAATATTTTTTAAATTAGACGATATAAATCATCCATTTAAGTATTAATTTAAAATTCAATAATTTAATATAATTAAATTGCGATTGAATAATTATTAATAAAATAATAATAATTAATGTCACAAAAATAACATTAAAAAATATAATATTATATATAAACTCTTAACTTATATATATATATATATATATATATATATATATATATACTAAAAGCCCACCGACCACTCACAATCTGAACGGAACGTGTCGGTGTGTTCGGTCAAGTCACGGATTTACGCCAGGATAATTATGGAGAGGTTAATTTATGTAATGCACCGGATTAGCCCCCTAATTTTCCGGGGCCCAGTCCTTAATCGCGGCCCAATAAGAATCATTATAAATAGGACCCCAGCGAGGTACGTAACTAACTTTTCAACTACCGCATTTAATACACCGAGCACTTACTTGAGCGTTGGAGTGTCTTTGCAGGCACCCCCCTCACTTCGGACTACTCGGAGAAGGACGAGAAGACCTAGACCCCGGACCCGACCCGCTACAACAAGGATAATTGGAGTGTGTATCCTAACAGGGACAATATATATATGTTCAAACTTAATATAATATAATATTTAAATTTTAATTTTAATAAAGTATAACGGTGTCTAATAATAATAATAATAAATTAATATATAATAAAATAAATAAATTAATATATATTAATTATAAAATTAAAGATATAAAAAAATTATAAAATAATATAAATGATTAGATTATATTTTTAATGAGAAAGAATTATAAAAAAAAAATTTATTCTAAATTGTAATTTTTTTAAATATATATTTTTTTTTTATTTTTCATAAAATGTTTTAAATTATTTTTTTAAAAAGAATTGTAATAAGACCAGTTCAAACCCGTACCAGTGATTGATTTTAAACTGGTTTCGCTCGATTCATATGAATCATGACCAATTCATATCAGTTTTAATGATCAAATCGGTTTTTAACTTGACTTATCAAATTCGTGGATCCAATTCGAGCCAGAACATCTATGATTCTTTTTAGTTTGTTACTAGTTGACTCTCTGGACTGTGTTTAAGAGAGATTAAGTTTTATTTCTCATTTCAATAAAAAAAAAAAAAAAAAAATTGGTCGATCCAATCCTTTTGTTGTTATAAAGTCAATTGAAGAATAGAATTATATAAAAAAAAATTGTACAGCAAATAAATAGAAATAATTATTTTATTATTGGTATAAATTATATTATTAAAATAGAGTTAACTTTTTTTAAAATTTTAGTTGACATACAGGATCATATTATAATATTATAGAAAAAAATCTAATAACAATTAGTTAAATAATGTGCTTATGTGTTTATTAAAATTATTTTGGAATTAAAATTAGAAAACATTTTTTTATATTCCTAAAAATACAACAACTGTACGAAAAAAAATTTAAAAGAGTTATTTTAGTCAATAACACAACTCACAATAAATATTGAATTTAAATCATCAAATCGTTAGATTAAAAATTTTATTGAATAAATAAGATTACAAATATTTGTAAAGTTTAAATACTATTTAATATTTTATTATTTAAATTCAAATTAATAATTATTAAAAATATATGAGTTTTTAGAAATTTTTCTTCAACAATTAAGTTTTGAAGATTCTTTTAACTTTATGTTTAATTCATTTTTTATTTATTATAATTATTTATCAATTAAATTTTATTTTTCTAAAATAAATTATCAATAAATAAAAATAATATTGTACTACAATATAAATTATTTATTATGAATCTAAAATATAATTTATATATTTAAAATATCTATTTATTAAAATTTTAAATATAATTATATTTAAATATAATATTTGTTTATATAAATAATTTATTTTAAATTTTAATTATATATAACAAATAGCACAAATTAAAATGATAATACAATGGGATGAGCACCACAACTATCTCAATCCGCACAATGGGATGAGCAACTTTGAAAACTTCTCCTCTAGTCCTAGTGATCAACAACTCATCACAACAAAATCACCTAGTATTTATCATAATAGTTCAACTATCAACTCATTCATACAACATTATATACAACTTGAATGCAACAACCCTTGCAACATTAACTGATGCATCGTCACGCATATACAACTAGGAGATCTCCAACAACTGAGGTTGAGCAGTCTAGGTGGCATAAACCCTACCAAATCCAATGTTTGACCTATCTCAACCAGGTCAGGTATAGGGCATCGTTAGGAACTCCAAAGAGAACCAGGTATAAACAATAATAGGTGATTACTTGGGTGTGCCACTTAGACTCAGAGGTCCAGTACTACTGTCAGGACAGAAGGGTTTGGGTATGAGCCTACCACGGCCTTAGCTAGCATCACCAATCCACATATGAAGTTAGCCCACCCACAGTCTTTCAAGTACCACGCACCCTCTAATACCTAGTCAAAGACTACATCTCTAACTAGATACCTTACTCAAATTGGTCATTCAACCATGACATGGATCGACTACTTCCATGTCGCCCAC